TGCATCGCTGTACATCCTCCTCTGCATCCCTGTACACCCTCCTCTGCATCCCTGTACAACCCTCTTCTACATCCCTGTACACTCTCCTCTGCATCCCTGTACCACCCTCCTTCATACCCCTGTACACCCTCTTCTGCATCCCTGTACAACCCTCCTCTACATCCCTGTACACTCTCCTCTGCATCCCTGTACCACCCTCCTTCATACCCCTGTACACCCTCTTCTGCATCCCTGTACAACCCTCCTCTGCATCCCTGTACAACCCTCCCCCACATCCCTGTTTAATCATACTTTGTATCCCTGTAATCTCATTCTTTATATCCATCTACAATCAGCCATTAGATCCCTCTATATGGATGTCTGATTTTCCATTTCCCACACAGTCCAACACTCGCCTGTACTATCTCTGGGATGACTCTATCACCAGTTTTCTTTCCAACTTCAAGCAGTTTATCATTTGGAAGCGGCTGTATCAGAAATCACCCAGTATAAACAATTAACATAGGTTGAATCACTAAATTGAAGACATGTTCCTTGTAAACAATCATTGATTATGAAATTGTTATTCATGACAAGTTTTCTCATTTTTTTTCTCCCTGCTTTATTCTATGTCTGGGGTGCAAACATCTCTGGCAGTGACTCCATGGTGCACCTGCTTTAGACGTCTAGCTAGGTCTCCCTTTACCTAAGAAAAACATTGTGCTTTCTGTGTTTGTTGAGTGACTTCCTTTGTACCCCTGTATCCATCTCTACCTTATGAAGTGCCCACTTTCACCCGTTCCCACAACACACTCATTTCCTCATTGGTTGGGTGTCATTGAAATACATGGCAGCCAGTGATTTACCCAGTTACAGAGGTTTATTTAAACTGAGTGAAGTATTATCAATTATTAGAGGCATGGGTCATAGATGAGGCTCCTGAACAGCCTGACAGAGCAGAAGGAAAAACAGAGGCCACCGCACCTGAGTCGAGAGGCCCTGGGAGAGATCTCTCTGGCGTCCTTATTAGCCATGACTCACACTCCAGCTCAGAAGCTCCTTTGATGGGGTCAGGAAGAGATCCTTGAATTCAAGGGAACCCAACTCTACCCTTTTAGACATGTGACCTTAACCAGGCCACTTATCTCAGAGTCTCGGCATTCTTTCTTGAGGAAAGGGGATAATAAACAAACTCGAGAGTTCTTGGGATTAATCTATGAGACATGTGATGTATTAGGTTAAACAGTAAGAACACTTCAGTATATGACAGGTAACATTTTTAAGTGACAACATCATCTAGGAGTTGTGATATATTAATCTGCTATCTGCTGGATGTTATACTAGCCAAAATCAGTTATCTGATGGATTTTACCAGGAACAGGAACCTGAGAAAATTTTATAAGGTAACTATATTTGAGGTTTCTTACGAGCGTGCAGAACACCAGTGATACTTCAAGGCTCATAATTGTCTGAAACAAAAATGTGAAATAAGTGGAAAGCCAACTTGAGCACATGTTATCCAAGAAGGAGGTTGAAGAAATGTTAAGTAACATGGTAACTGTTTCAACTATGTGGGTTTTTACACTTTCCTTTTTGTATAAATAATAGAGTTGAACAGATAAAAAATAAACACATTTGTAGAAGGTTCTGCCATGTTTCACATCTGAATGTACAGTCCATGTCTTCAATCTTTGTTACAAAATATCTTCGTTATTTCACATGCGAGGAGCTTCATGACCTGGTTTTCCTCTCTTCCCGGCCTTCCTCATTTTAAGTTTCCCAAAGGAAAACTGTGCAGAAACCACATCCATGTACTTGTGTTGGGGAAAGCAGCGGTTTTTATAGTATTTCCCATTTCCCTGTCTGACCACATGGACGTTCCACTGACCTGTACTAAACTAACTTTAGCTAACTTCTTGCCATCCGGAATTTAACTAAATCTTTCTCTTGAAATGTAATGCTCTCGGCCCATTCCACCCCAGGTATGGACACACCTGTGCTTTTTTTCTTGCTAAGTTCACCACCCTGGTCCATTTATTGCTAGCTCACTAGCTTTTTCTTTTCCACTGTGTGACCTCAAGGGCGGAGACCATCATGCTCTCGACTGTCCCCGCACAGAGCGCTGCCTGATTGGCTCAGAGCAGGCACGCAGTGAACAGGCCACAGGTGTCAGAGAGAGTTAGCACACAGCTGGTCTGTAACAAGTTATTTTCCAGAACCGTGTATGACAGACGCTGACTTGTCCAAGGACGGTGCCTGGGATCCAGAAGAGTTCAATCAGCATCTCGGCCTCTGCCCTTCATGACAGTGATAGGATGAACCTCCAGAGCTCTGCCAGATTCTGCCTAGAGACACTCAACATCTTCCTCTAGGATCCCATGGGTGGAATAGATAGGCATCCTTTTTTTTCAATCCTCACTCAAGGACATTTTTCCATTTTTTGTTCAGATAGAGTGGGAAGGAGAGAGAGTAAGAGAGAGAGAGAGAAAAAAACATCGACGTGAAAGGGACACATTGTGTGGCTGCTACCCTCATGACCAACCTGGGCCAGGGACAAACTACAACCGAGGCACATGCCCTTAGTGGGAACGGAGCCCAGGTCTCTCTGGACCACAGGCCGACGCTCAAACTGCTGAGCCAAACCGGCCAGGGCTAGATAGGCATCTTGACAAATGGAAGTTCAGATCATTTCTCTTGATGCTTGGTAGGTTGGTTATTGATCAAAACCTATACCTAAAGCGAAATGTCGATGCTCTACCAGAGAGCTTTTTGCCACAGGGGTGGCAGATGATGGGACTATTTCCCAGGTTCTAAAGAAATTGAAAAGGGTTATATAATCTCTGTTAATAGAGATCCTGATAGACCCAGAGTTTAAAGGAAAGACAATTTGAAGAGTTCTGAGCATTGTCTATTTGACGAAGTTAACAGATGAGGGGTTCAAAGGAGCAAAGCAGTGAACAAGTCGAAGGAGGGCCTGGGATCTGGGGACAGAAGATGGTCACTGGAAAACCCTGGAGGAGACAGCGTGGGGGCATTTGACAGGATGGTCTAGTCCTCCACTTTCAACACTGCCTCTCAGGGTTCAGGAGGTAAGCCCCGCCTGGTCAGCGGCCCCCTGAGAGGGCAGGCAGGATGGAGAGAACTGTGTCAGTACGATAGGCTCCACCGGCAACCAAGACCGAGAATCCAGCCGAAAGCAGAACATTCGGGGCAATTAGAATGCTTCTCCTCAGCAATGTTTACCCTCTGCCTCCTCTGTCAACTTCTCTGAGTCTGCAACAATGAAATAAAGGTTTCCATTCAAGATAATGAGTGTATACGGTTCTAATGATATCCATACTGAATAGAAATTAAAGAATAAAAAATGAGAGAACTGAAGCTTCTGGTTACAGAGAATTTTGAACATGTTTTCCTGACAGCCATATAACCCTTTCATACTTAGCTCACAGGCATCTGTAGTAATTTCCCCTCAAAGATCTCAATTCATCTGTTCAGCTAACTGCCACGGAGTGTTACTGCACAGGACAAGGTACTAGCAGAAACACTGGTTATAGTTGATCTGTAGGCAACTGTGATGCTGTGCTAGAAGTCATTACAGGGTGAAATGGGTCTTCAAATGACGAAGTATGCCATCCTACCTTCAGGCAACTTCACCTGGATGAACCAGTGTCAAGGTTTCAGGCTTGAAGAGGGCACCCCAGTACCTGGTCGTGGGGCTCTGTCACCCCACAGCATTCTACAGAGGTGGTACATCCTGCAGAAACTGATGGAACCTAATGTTCAATTCTCTCCTCACAGAACTGAGGTTTTGCCTCAACATTAAGTGTCTTTTTAAACAGTCCCTGCTGTTTAGCAGGGAAGGAAAGTACTTAAAATACATCTGACTGGGTTGAAAGCAGCTTGACTAAGATCCCTAATGATACCGAGCAGCACTGGATGAAACCAGCAACATGGAAAGCGCGAGCCAAAGAATGCTTCAAATTCCGTCAACACACAAGTGGATTTGAAGGACTGTGCATTTCCCATCACCAGGACAGTGAAATCAAGCACTTCAGCTGAAGAACAAAGGAAAAGGAGATATTCTGGGCACGGGGACTAAAGCAAATCTGCGTCTGGCAAAGGTAACTTGGTGTGAGAAAGTAAGAGAGACTAGGCTCTGTGCAAATTCTGCATATGCCCCTTAATAGATGTGGGTGACCTTGGGAACATTCCCTAGCTTCTCTGCAACCCACATTCCTCAACCTTAAGATACAAAAGTGAGAAAAATATAAGGAATTCATAGTTTGTTGAGGGATGAAATAGATGCTCAATAAACATCAATTTCCATTGCTTTATTTTTTATTTATTTATTTTTTTATCCTCACCCGAGGACATTTTTCCATTTTTTGTTCAGGTAGAGTGGGAGGGAGAGAGAGGAACAGAGAGAGAGAGAGAGAAACATCGATGTGAAGGGACACATCGAGTGGCTGCCACCCGCACAACCGACCAGGGCCGGGGACAAACTGCAACTGAGGTACGCGCCCTTAGCGGGAACCGAACCCGGGTCTCTCGGGACCACAGGCCGACACTCTAACCGCTGAGCCAAACCGGCCAGGGCTCCATTGCTTTATTTTTATTGACAGCAATAGCTTTGGCTGGTGATTAAAACAACGGGAAAATGAAAATGCAGTCTGTATAATTACATATTCCTGTCTTCTTCTACTCTCCCTCCCCAAACCTATATTCCATGCATTATAGAAACACTGACTAAATCACAAAGCTAAACATTCAATTTCACTATTCTGTTTAAAACAGAATGTTCAGAATATAAGGAAGTGATGATAGGTCACCATGCTTTATATTACAAACCCCAGTAATAGCCCTAAAAGTACAACTGGCAATTTTCAAAAGTTAAAAATTATCTCAAGCGTTAGGAAGCCCTAATTTATACTGAATTTCTCATCGTGTCCTCTCTTGGGGGAATGTTATGCATGAGTCAGTGTGCTTCCTCCACACCTGCAGAAAGGTCATGATCCCATTACCATTCATCCTTGTCTGCGTCACAATTGCAAAAGTGCCGAATGTCCAGGCAGATCTCATCCAGGCCACATTCGCATTGCTGAGCTCCAGGGGGAACAGCTCCCCAGTAAGGGTGTCTTTCCTTTGACCGGCCAATCCACCACGTAAAGGGCACTCCATCTGAAAGACAGGAGATTTCACAGCTCAGAGGGGCAACCAGCTGTCACAGAGCTGAGACAGAAATGTCTTGATGAATATATATATATTTCTATTTGGTTCCTGTTGAGCATAGAGCAGGCATTTAATATGTGCTAATTAATTAATTTATTTATCCTCACTGAATGATATTTTTTCTCATTGAGAGAGTGGAAAGGAGGGGTTAGGGGGAGAAAGAGAGAGACAGAGAGACATGTTGATTGGTTGCCCTTGGCACGTACCCTGACCAGGACCAGGGATGGAACCTGCAATGCAGGTACATGCCCTTGACCAGAATCGAACCCACAACCCTTGGGTGCACATGCCGATGCTCTAACACTGAACCAAGCTGGCCAGGGTAATATGTGTGTGTGTGTGTGTGTGTGTTTTAATGAAAAAATAATAAATCAATGATTAATGATTTACCACTTTAGAATAGAATAATAATATTGTCTCAGGATACTACTACATTGAAATTTTGCCTGGGCAGCATTCAACTTTTATGCAGCTGCTGATTTACAAAGATGTATTTGACAAATTATTTATGTATACAGATCACAACTTTGTGTGAATTACTTCACTACTGAAGTCTTATGGAAGTCACCAAGGCAAGGAAGAAGGTCAATGACAACCTGGGACTACCAAGAATTGGTAGGTCATGACAGAAAGATAAGGAAGGACCATAAAAAGTAGCAGCGTCTCAGGGGTGTAAAATTGGGCAGATAGCCTAAAGGACTGTTCTCACACAAAAACTTTATTCTTCATTTTGCCTAAAATGTTTCAAGTCCTTCTATTATCTTTTAATGCTAGAATTACAATTAGAGATGTCTGTTAACCAGTGTCTTTTGTTTTAAAGAATTATTCTAAATGGTGAATCTATTTTACCTAGTTTCAAACAGCTATAAATCATTGAACACTATTTCAACTGGATTGCTTCATTTTCTAAACCCCAGCTCTGGTAGGCCACCCTGGAGTGGGCTGGAGGGCCTGCGGGCTCATTCCGGGCACAGCTCTTTCAGGACTGGGCAAGGGGGGGACATTCTCATTGTGTGAGCCCAGGCAACACAAGGGTAAACACTGTGTGTTTGCATGTTTGCTCCTGTTGGTTTTGGGTCTGAGAAATGGAAGGAATTTCTCCATCTCCCCCTCCTTCCAGCCTGCTCAGGACTCTGCCCCTAATCTAGAATCCAAATTACATAGTCAAGTTCAATGTCATCATGGACTATTTTGTACATAAGCTAAACCAAGGTTGTAATCACCTTATTTTTTTAATCCTCACCTGAGGATATTTTTCTATTTTTTTCAAATAGAATGGGAGGGAGAGAGAGGGAGAGAAACGGGGAGAAAGAGAAACATCGACGTGAGAGGAACACATAGACTGGTTGCCTCCAGCATGACCCTACCAGGGCAGGGGACAATCACAACCAAAGTCTGTGCCCTTGACCAGAATGGCACCCACGACTCAATGATCCTGCAGCCAATGCTCTACCCTGAGTCAGACCAGCCAGGACAGGTTGTAGTCATATTAATGGCATCATCATTAATGGCATGAGTTCTGAAAAACCAATCTGTGCGTAGCTTCTGGTGCATATGTTCCTTCTCAGTAGTTGTAGCAGTTCTCCTGTGGTAACAAGCCCTAGAAGTTCCATCAGCAACAGGATGCTTCCTGCTGCCTTGAACCCATCTGTGTCCTGCACCACTAGGCTTGGGGTCCTTCCTCATGTACGGAAGATAGAATAGAGGTGCCAAGTAGTGTTAGCTGACTGACTGTCAATGAGCAAGAAGAAAGACAGCAAAGAGAGAAACAAAGGCACACACATGTATCTGAGAGCAGGACAGCGATTGCTAATTCTTACACGTCTGTCTTCCTGTTTCCTTCCCTGTGGAGGATTAGACAGATCACAACCAACGCTGGGATCAAAGGGGGGGCACACTGTTCTAATTCAGGACTCAACAGACGCAGGCAGGAAGATCATCTGCACCCAAACAGATTAGGCCCATTAGAGAAACTGAATTTATTTTCTCCTGGCAGAGGTTCTTTCAAAAGTAAAAGAATAAAGCATAATATACATGTATATAATATATATAATTTTATATACACATCATATATACTCCTACAACAATGTTTACTGAGGATCTATAATATTTTAGGAACTATTCTAGGTACTTAAACTAAATCATTTAAACAAACTAAAACAAATACACAAATAAATCATGCCTTCTAAAGAGTTCATTGTAATTATGAAAAGTAGGTAATAATAATCATGAAATAATTTAGCATTTAGAAGGGGATACGGGTATGGGAACAGTACACCAGGCAAGGAAAGGGTCAGGTGTGTTGGGGAGAAGGGTGTGGTCAGGGCAGAACTCAATGAAAAGGAGAACTCTGATCAAAACTTGAGGGCAGGGAGCGGGTTCCAACCGGCTGGCTGTCTGAAGAGGAGGGAATGGCCACCGTAAAGGCCAAAAGGCCAAGCAGGGCGTTTTCTGAAATCTACCACCAGTTTTTTGTTCTTTTTTAATTAAATTTACAGAAGTGACATTGGTTAATGACACTGTATACGATTTATAAGTTGACATGTGTGTGATCTATTGCATGTCCTAAAACAAATCTAGTGTCCTTTTATTAGGTGCATTTTACCCTATTCGCTCACTTTGCCCATCCCCCACTCTCTCCCCTCTGGCAGTCACAGTTCTATTGGCTGTACTTACGAGTTTGGCCTTGTGTGTTTTGTTACTTTTTGTTTTATATTTTACATCATTTTTGTCAACCGACTTATTTCACTTAGCATATTGTCACAAATGGCAATATTTCATCTTTTTTTTGGCTGAGTAGTATTTCATTGTATGCATGTACTACATCTTTATCTAATCATCAATGCTGGGCACTTAGGTTGTTTTCATGTTTTGGCAATTGTAGATAATGTTACAATGGACAGAAGGGGACATAAATCTTCTCTTATTAAATTTATTTGAGTGATCATGGAATCTCCCCTGCCAGGAGTGGTACATGTACACAATGGAGTACTATGCAGCTGTAAGAAAGATCTCTTATCCTTTGAGATGACATGGAGGAACCTGGAGAGTATTATGCTAAGCAAAACAAGCCAAGCAGAAAAAGACAAATATCACATGATATCGCTTATTTGTGGAATATAATGAACTAAACAAATTGATTAACAAAATTGACCCAGAGACAAGGAGGTGGGGTACAGACTGACAAACCCCAGAAGTGAGGGGGGTTGGGGAGAAGAGACAAACCACAGAACTTATATGCGTGTATGCTTAACCAATGGACATAGACGCCAAAGCTGGGGATGAGGAGGTGGTGGGGGGTGGGGAGGAGGGTGTCAATGGGGGAAAAAGGAGAAACATCTGTAACAAAAACAAATTAATAAAAAAATATATATATTTTTTATCCTCACCAGAGGACATTTTTTCCAATTTTTGTTCAGACAGAGTGGTAGGAGAGAGAGGAAGAGAGAGAGAAACATCAACATAAAAGGGACACATAGAGTGGCTGCCACCCACATGACCCCAACCAGGGCCAGGTACAAACTGCAACTGAGGTACATGCCCTTAGCAGAGACCAGAACCTGGGTCTCTCTGGACCGCAGGCCGACACTCTAACCGCTGAGCAAAACTGCCCAGGGCAATAAAGATAATTTAAAAAAAAAATTATTTGGGTGACAATGATCAACAAGGTCATCCAGGTTTCAACGGTACCATCCCTAGGACATATGATCTGTATACTGCATTGTGTGCTCACCACCCAAAGTCAAATCATCTTCTGTCACTATTTTTGGCCCCCTTTATCCTTTGCTACCTCCCTGACTCCTCCCGCTGGTGACCACCACACTGTTGTCAGTGTCTGTGAGTTTCAGTTTTATATCCCACAGAGAAGTCAAATCATATGGTTCTTAGCTTTTCCTGACTGACTCTTTTTGCTCAGCATATCTTCTAGGTCCATCCGTGCCATCACAATGACAGTATTTTATCTTTTCTTATGGTTGAGTAGTATTTCTTTGTATATATGCACCACATCTTCTTCATCCAATCCTTTATTGGAGAAGAATTTGGTTATCTCCCTGTCTTGGCCACTGTGAATAATGCTGCAATGAACACAGGGGTGCATATATCTTAAAAAATGAATGTTTTTGAGTTTTTTGGCTACATACTCAGAAGAGGGATTTGTGTGTCATATGGAGTCTCTATCCTTAGTTTTAGGTGTGTTTTTTTTTAACATATGTTTTTATTTTTGTTTAGAGAGAGAGATGGAAACATTGATGTGAGCAAGAAACATGGATTGGTTGGCCCTTGAATATCCCCTACTAGGGAATCAAGCCTGCAACCTGGACATGTGCCCTGACTGGGAATCGAACCAGGATCTCTCAATTGATGGGAAGACACTCAGTCCACTGAGCCACACAGGCTGGGCTCTATTCTTAGTTTTTTGAGATATAGCCAGACTGTTTCCCATAGTGATTTTACCAGTTTACATTCCCACCAGCAGTGAATCAGGGCTTGTTTTCCTCCACAACCTCTACAACACTTTTTATTACCTCTTTTCTTGATAATAGCCATTCTAACAGGTGTAAGGTAGTATTGTAGTTTTGATTTGCATTTTCCTAATAGCTAGTGAAGTTGAACATGTTTTCATATATCTGTTGGCTGTTTGTATGTCTTCTTGGGAGAGGTTTCTGTTCAGGTCCTCTGCCCATTTTTAACTGTATTGTATTTTATTGTGTTGTTGTTTTTGAGTTGTATGAGTTCTATATATATTTTGAATATCAACGCTTTGTTGAAGCTGTGGTTTGTAAATATATTCTCCCATTTGTTTGATTGCCTTTTTGATTTGTTGTCAGTTTATTTTTCTGTGCAGAAGGTTTTTAGTTTGATACAGTACTATTCATTTATTCTTGCCTTTACTTCCCTTTCCTTTGGGGTCAAATTCATAGTATGTTCTCTATGACCAAGGTCCATAC